GGTCGTGGATACCGTGTGGGGTGGGTTGTACATGCACACATGCACGAGCCACAGGCGTGTGCTGCACAGGCTATCACATGCAGCAGGAAAGTACCAGTGCAGCCTCCTGGCGCAGTCCACAGCAGCTGGGACCAGCGGCAGGCACAACCTGGCCTCCCCCAGGAAAACCAGGGAGAGCTCAGGGTTGGGGAGCAGACATGTATTGCCAAAACACAGACTTACACAGCCCAGAGCAGTGGAATAGGACTGCACTGACACCCCCGAGGCACCCAGCACCCACCACCTCAGGCAGGGGGGGCTGGGTGGCTCCAAAGTGAGGCTAGGGGTGCAGTCTAGGGGTGCCCCTTCCTTGTATCTAGTGGCTCTAAAGGCACCAAAAACCTCATGGGGAAACAGCCCAAGCAGCATCCCCCCACCCCCCGAGCTTGCTTCGGTTCTGGCGGAGATGGTCCCTACCAGAAACCCCATTGCTGCAGGCACCAGGGACAGGGGTGCTTGCGGTCCTCATCCCTGCCCAGCTCCAGCAGCTCTCTGCAGCCAGGGTGCATCTGTCCCCGAGCCTGGGGGGCCCTGGGATGCTGCCCCGCTCAGATCTCCTGCAGGAAGTCCACAGGGAAGAGCCCCACTTTGCGGCCGGTGTAGACTTTGACGTAACCATTCACCTCCTCACCTTTCTGTACCACAATCTGGGGGTGAGAGGGGTGCAGGTGAGACAGAGGAGGGGGAAGGTGGCAGAGGGAGGGGGCTGGGCAGAGTGGGTCTCATCCAAGGGGCTGGGGGAGGTGGGCAGCATGGGGACAGCAGTGCCGGCCAGGGCTGAGAGTGGCTATGGGGTGCAGCAGGGTGCCAGGGCGGCCGTGACGGGTGGGGGCCTGGAGGGAGGCCAGGGCAGAGATGCAGGCTGGTGCTGGAGGACCACGGGCTGTGAGCACATGGTCTCGTCTCACCTGATCCTTCTTGAGCGTGATCTGCCCGATCTCCCGGTTGCCCACAAAGGAGCGCGTCACCTTGTGCACCCGCTCGCCTGCCCGCACCCGGATAATGAAGTTTGGAGGGAAGTAGCCAATTTTTTCACCAATCTTCCCCTGAAAAAGTCAGTGGATGGGTGCAAGGTGGGGTTTGGAGCTAATCTGTATGACCCCCAGGTTCCCCCATGACAAACAGCCTGCAGGTTGTGGGTTGGCATGAGGACACAGCAGATTTGCACTCCCAGCTGACCTCTCCCTTTGCTTAAAGCTCTGCCTCTTTCCCCTCTGTGCTTGTAGGACACCAGCCTTACCCGCCACCACTCCTCATTGGAGTCATCGACCACCGTGATCTTCTCCCCTGGCCTGTGAAGGGAAGGAAGGGCTCAGTGTGAGGGGGGGCCCAGGGACCCCCTGCCATGGGAGACCTTGAGGTTGGCAAGGAAAATTGCTCTTCCCACAGCACCAGCTCCTAGAGCCCTGTGTCGGGGAGATCGAGGAATACACACAGCCTGCAGGCTCAGGGACAGACAGGTCCTGTACATGACAGCTCAGCCTCAAGTCTGGGGTGCAAGAAATCAGTGGAACCACGTCAAGACAAACACCAGCCGCCTTGGAAATGAGGCTTGTGCCTAAAGCCTGAGAGCTGGCTCAGCGAGAGCCAGGACCCCTGCTCAATGTGTAGCCCAGTGGGGCAGGCAGAAAAGCCACAAAACCCAAACCACAGTCAGCATAGCTCTAACTTCTGCCCTCATTCATTCATTCACAGACCCCTCCTGGTCATGAGAGCCTCATTGTTGAGGTGAAGACTTCCCCCTGTCCCCACTGGACACCCCACATACCATACTTCCTCTCATCATCCCTGTGCCCACTACACTGCTAGGAACTTACGGGAAATCCAGGTCATCTTTCTCCAGGGCTTTGAAGCGATAAAGTGCCACAAAATAGTGAGACTGCAGATAGCCACCACGAATCCCTGGCTGTGGCTTCTTGTTCTAGGGGAGGAGGAAAGAGGGGATCAGCACTCCAGAGAGGCTGAAGACAGCCCAGGGAGCCCAGCAGGGAGATCCCTGCAGCCTCTGCCCATGCTGCTCCAAGGCTGGGGGCCTTTAGGGCATAGGGTGAGGATGACGGATACCTTGTCATCTGTTGGGCTCTTCTCAGTCTTCTTGTCCCCTTCAGAGGTACCTGGAAATAGGAGGAAGGAGGTTACACCTCTCCGGGTGTTGCCTCCCGACCCCAGGACCAGCCTCCTCCCAAGGATCTCCTGTGCCCGGTCAACAAGGAGAAGCAGAGAGAACCCCAGGGTGGAGACCTGAAGACTTGCTTTCTGCAGGGCAAACCCCACCCCAGCAGCCTCCCCAAATACAGTCTCCACATCAGGCTCCCTCCTTGCCCCATGCTCGTGGCTGGAGCTCAGCCCCCTCCCTAGCCAGCCCTGCCACGGTCGCAACACTCACCACCTTCAGTTTTGCCCCCTTCTGGCTTTGTGGCCTCTGGTTCCTCATCCATCATAGCAGCCAAAGGCTGCAAGGCAGAGAGCTGTCAGGGGGTGCAGAGCGGGCAGGGAGGTGGGGGTGGCAATGGGGTGCCAGAACCCTTGGGCATTTGGAGCGAAAGGCCAACCCCACACTCACGTTTTTCTTGTCGTCCTGTCCTTTCTTGCGCTCCTTGTTGGCCATGATGACACCTGTCCGCAGGGTCTCGAACACAGGGTCGCTCCTGTTGGCTGCCGCTGGGGCACAGGGATGGTGAGAGAGGTTTGGCTACAGGATGTGAGGAGATGGGGCACCCCGGCGTGGGGACAGTACTTACAGAGCAGCTCCTTGACGCAGGCATATTGCTGGTCACTGTAGAGGGGTGAGCTGTATGCCCGGCGAAACCCTGGTGGCTGGAAAGAGCAAGGACGTCAGAGCATCAACCACCACCCAGACCTGTGGGCCCTTCCGTGAGAGCTGAGGAGGGAGCAAGTGGATGCTGGGGACCCAGAGGGTGACCACCCAGCAGGGGGGAGATGCCTGGGTCCCCCTTTTAGAGCCAGGAAGAGACGTAGGTCATGGCACCTAGGTCATGCCCACAGGGACCGAGCCAGCCGCTCCCTGCCGTGGCACTCCGGTGGTCCCTACAAGGAGGTGCCCCCAAGCCTGGGGCTGGTGGGAACACTCACAATTTTGCCGAAGCAACGCTGCATCTCCACGTAGGACTGGCAGTGGTGGTGGATGTTGGTTTTGCAGTTCTTGCACCTCAGGCCAAATTTGTTGTTGACTGGCGGTGGGGGATGCGTGGAGGGGTGGAAAGGAGAGGCGATGTGACACTGCAGCTGTGGGGAAGGCTGGGCTGGAGCCCTCGCCAGCCTTGGCCCCCAGCCCTTGCCCTGACCATGGCCCCCAGCCCCAGCACCCTCAGAACTCACGGACAATCATGCGGGCACAAACGTCACAGAACTTGGGCTTTTTGAAGTAGTGATCTTTGAACTTGTGGGGTTTGTCATTGACAAGTTTCTGGGGCTCAGGAGGGGGCTCAGGCTCCTCCTCCTCTTCCTCCTCTTCCTCCTCCTCGTAGATGTAGTAGATGGGCCCCCCCGAGGGGCTGACCAGCTCCCCATTGGGCTGCGGCTCTGGCGCTGTCTCCTCCTTGGGCTTTCGCTGGAAAAGTTGCTTCAGCTTCTGTAGCTGCTGGGGCAGGAGAGGATGCATCGCACACAGCAGGTGTATGGGGTGAGGCAGGCAGGCAGGCAGAGAGTGGCTCCCTGCCTCTTTGCTCTGACCCGAAGACTCCTCCTTCCCCAAGTGGGAGGAGACCCCAGGTGTCCTGGGGCAAAAATGCTGCAAGGACAGGGACCCTTCTCCCTTCCTCATGAGGTTCCCACAAAAGGAGAAACTGTAACTCCTGAGCACCATGTGGATGTGGGCACCCTGGGGAAAAGCCAAGCTGGGAAATGGCCACCCAGTGCCCTGCTGGACTGGGATCCCACCAGGCATCCCTGGCCCCACAGAAATCCTGGGATTGAGGCAGAGACAATGCTAGAAAGGTGACTTCCCCCACCCACCGAAGCTGCCCTGTGGGCACCCACTTACCCTGCTTTTGGGTTTCCCACCTGAAGCAGGTGAAGCTGGTGGCTCTGGCACTTCCTTCTCTGTCATGCTATGGGGGAAAAAAGAGACATGAAGTTGGCTGGGGCTGTTCCCACTGCAGGTGCCTAGCAGGGGCAGAAATGGCCAGAACTCACTGGATGGGAAGCATCTCCCAAGCTAGTGCCTCCCTCTGCCCCAGCAGCACCACCTCCTGCCACCCCACCTGCCGCTCCTGCCCCAGCAAGGGCCAGTTCCGCTGTGGGCAAGTCCCAGGGCCCCAGGGTACCTGCTGGGACCTGCTGTGGAGGCTGGAGAACAGCAGGCTCCCAGCCCAGCATGCACAGCGCTGCTGCTTGCTTGGTGGACGTGGTGCCAGGTGCTGCGAGCCAGACCCTGGACTACCTGCACGCATCCATCTCTGTCTAGACATCTCCATCTCACAATTAAACTGCAAATGGTGCCACTTTTGGCCCCCTAGGACAGGCATGCCTAGGACACTGTCTGGTATCACCACACAGCCCTGCTTTGTTCTCCCCAGAAGCCCCGTGCTACTGCAGGAGCAGGATCTGCTCCTGCATCCCCCTAAACCTGCCCGATTCCACCTTTGACTGTCAACAATCCCCATAGTCCTTCTATGCAGACAGCACTATTTTTGGTTATACCCAACACGAGCCCCCCCCTCGCCCCTGTGGAAACCAACCAGGACGACCATCAGGGAAACAGCGATGGGTGCTGGGAACCCTGGGGCAAGGCGTGCTGCAGCAGCAGAGAGCCCTGGGGTCTTGCAGCAATGTCTTGCAGCCCATGGGGGTCAGTGGCCACGATGAGGGGGAGCCGCGCACGGAAACACACTTACACTGTGGAGCTCTTGTCCTGCGATGAAAAACCCTACAAAGGGTGGCCGATGTTGGGGCCCCGTTGGCCAGAGAGCCCCCCAGCCCTCTGTGCTGGGTGCACAGGGAGGGGGGCAGCTGCCCCAGTCCTGTGGAGAGTAGGAGTGACAGGACAGAGGGGAACCGACAGCTGAGCGCTGGCGGAGGCTGACGCTGAGAAATTGGAGCCCATGCATGAGCCAGGAGGGGAGCGGGGTGGAGAGGAGCCACTGGCTATTTGCGTTAGTGGGTTGCTGGGCGTCACAGAGGCCCACCCACCCCCTGGCATGGGGCAGCAGCAGAGCCGGGGCACACCAAGTGCTCCAGCCTTGACGTCTCATTTGCTCTCAAAATTGAACTCTCATGGCTGCCCCATCCTCTGTAGCAGCAGATCCTGCTGATCTGCTCTCTGCTAAGAGAGCTGGCCACGGAGGAGAGAGCTGGGGACCCCACTGCTATCATGCTGCCCTGCAGTGGGTGTCAGGTCCCTGGAGTTGGACAGGCACCCCAGTGTCAGAGTCTCTGGAGCTGTGTACCTGCCAGGCTGCAGGTGGCAGTAGGGCAGGACTTTGCACCAAGGCTGGGGTTGGAGCCCATCCCTTCCTGGCAGCTCTTATCTCTCCACTTGCGCCTGCTTCTTGAAGATGCTGCAAGAGGCTCCAGCTGCTGTGTGCAATGCCATGCTGAAGGGGGTGCCAGCCTGAGTCCTGTACCCACAGGACAGGAGGACACAGTGATACCTGTACCTATCAGCTTGAGGGCTGCTCCCATCATCGGGAGAAATATGTTGCTTCCTGGCAGGGGATACAGCTGGGGACGCCCCACACCCCCATTCTTGCCATTGCACAGCTGCATGGAGCCAGCAGATGGGAAAAGAGGCTATGAATATCTGACAGCAGGACCAGCCCCAGGTCAAGGTGCCAGCACTCCTCTACCAGTCTCGGCTCCCAGCCCTGGCAAGCCATGAGCTCACAGCGTCTGTACATGCCAAGCATGGGGCCAGGATCCGGGCAGGAACACATCTTCCTGGTGATGCCCCTTCTGCTTCCTGTCATTGCACCCCCAAGAGGCAGCACAGATAGCCCCTAGCACTGGTACTGGCAGAGAATGGGAAAGCAGCATTAGTGATGGACAAGTTTTCTTTTTATATTTAAAAACAACCCCCCAAATAAAATAAAACCAAAAATACCCCCCAAATAATAATCAGATTAAATAAAATGTGCAGTGAACATACCAATCAACACCTGTATGTGCGGTTCAACACAGTGCTTAACAAAACAATATACACAGGGTAAGGTAGGCGGGCATGGGCATCACTCAAAAAAAAAAAAATCAATTTCTTGTCTCTTAATTATGTCCATATAAATATATCCAGGAAGGAGGGCAAGATGAAGGGAGGGCAGAAAGGAAAAGAGAAGGCAGAGGGAAGTGCCCGCAGTCCAGTGTGCTCTGTGCCCATGTGTGAGCCCTACTGTGAGCTGGCACGCTCCAGCACCCGCAAGTCATAGTTCTTTTTGGCCACACGCAGCTTGAAGCGGCTGAGGGAGTTGTTGAGGCGGAGGGAGGCATTCTGGGCAGCCAGCGGGCTGGGGAACACGGCCACGATGGTGTATAAGGCAGCAAGGTCACTGTGCCTGCCGTTCTCTGGAGTCCCGTTGTTGTCCCCGCCACTCCCATCTCCGTGGCGCCCCTGAGTCTCTTTGAGCCACTGGATTTTGGCACCAGCCATGGCAAGCTGGGTGAAGAGCTTGTCAGCCTCTGTCCGTGTGATGCCCTCGGGCAGGTCTGTCACCTCCAGCACTCGGCCCAGCACTGCAGTGGAAAGACAGTATGTGTGAGTGGCAGCAGGTTCTTGGGTGGCAACAGCACAGTGAGAGCTGATGCGTGGGCTCCCCACCAGCGCTGGGGCTGGAGCAGTCACCTCTGCTTTGCCTGTGAAAGCAGCACTTTGCTAAGCTGCTCCACACGTTAGGAATGTATTTTTTTAAGTCAGTCACTTCTTCCCCCTCAAACTGCCCATATAATTCTGCTCCATCCTGACTGTGCCCCATCCTGATCCTTTCTGCCCACACCCTGGTCCCCTCATGGCCTGCTTCAAGAGGAGACTATTTCCCATTTTCCCAGGGCTCCAGCAACACCAAGTCCTTCTTGCTTCTTTTGGCTGGGCTGGGCTTTTCAGTTAGGGCTTTCCCAGGAGCTCTGCCATCTTCCTACCCTGATCTTTGGGTACCAGGACTGGGAGCTAACCCAGCTCTCCTGCCCTCTGTCCCTGGAAGGGAGAAAGGCTGCACCCACAGAGGACATCGACATGAGTGGATCCCGAACGTGACGCTACCCTGCGTGCTTCACTCTCGTGTGCCCAAGCCAGTGTCACGCCAACCTCTTTGCCTCTGCTCTGTGATACCCAAACACGTCTGCTGCCTCCTGGCTCCAGCCCTGGCTTTTGGGCTTAGCAGAGAGCTGGCTGAATGGATTCTTTGCTAATATTAACACAGCATGTAATGAACATACCAGCCGCAGGGAGGGGGGCAGCTCTCCGGCAAGCAGCTCTTAAAGAGCCCCCTGCCACCAGCTGCTGGTGGTGATGGTGACACGGGGGACAAATCTGAAGCCTCTCAAGAGCCAGTGAAGGCTGCCTCCTGTCCAGGCTGTCTAGCTCAGGCCCACTTAGCAAGTGGAGACCCCCCCAGGGCGAGGAACAGGGATTCCCTTCCCCTTTGGAGAGAAACAATCCACTGGGGATTTCAGCCCTCGCAGCCACCCCTGGAAGATCCCAAAGCCCTTCACAAAGACTCTGGGACTCAGGAGCTCTGCAGCTCCTGGCCCCACTGGGAAATGGAAACATGAGAGGGGAGGGTCACTTGGGAAGGCAATGGTGGGAACAAGATCTCAGGGGTCTGGACACTCACTTTCTCCTGATAGAGAGGAATAAAATCCCAGGAGTTCTGCCAGCTCTACCTGCTCCATCATTTCCACCCTCACAGAGGCAGGAATAGGGCCCAGGTGTCCTGGTGCTCATCGCTGACTTTCCAACCATTTCTCCCCACTCTTTCTCAAAAGCTTTGCTCAGTGCAGGCAGTGTTTACTGGGTTCCTGAGGAACCCCTGTCCTCCCACCTCCCGATGGGCACAGCTGACTGGGACCGGCTCTGCTGCACCCCCCCCAAGCCAGGCCTGATGCGCGTTGGGGGGGGCAGTGGCAGGCAGGAACTGCTCTCCACAACCACCCCCAGCAACAGGTTCTGTGGGAAGCTGGTGTGGGCAGCAGCGGCATCTGGAGTCTCTGCCAATGCCAGCTACACCCATGCAGTGGGGACTAGTTCGAGGGCAAAGAGGGAACTGCTTGAGGAGTATCACTTGCCTACATCACTCGTCCCAAGGTCAGTGGATGCTGACTTGAGGGCCTGTCTCTTGCTCCGGTTTCCATGTTTCATTCCAGTCTGCCCCTTAAATAAAAATGGTAGTGTGTTACGTGAGGAGACACTGTGGCCTCACAGCACAGCTCCTCACACAGGAGCATCCTTTGTGTGTGTGTGTGGGGAACATGACACGGGACACGCACACGGATGGACCAAACTTGACCAGGCCATGGCCGTGAAGGGGAACGAGGACACCTGGATAAACCTTGCACCCCTGGCACTGTTAACACCACACTTGTGTAAGTCAGAGGACATCAACACACAGCCATGGTTCCAGGACACTAAAGGACTTGGGGCTGACGTGGCTTCTGGGCAAAGCTGGGAGAAGGATGAAATTTTAGCCCAGTGCCAGGCTCTAGGGAAATCCATTTGCAATGGCAGCTCTGCTGGATGGACGGTAAGACCGTGGGGTAGGTAGCCTGCTATCTAATCGAGGGGTGTACAAGCACAAGGCAGGGTGTGAGACTCGCTGCTTAACTACTCCCAGGACAGCGAAAGGGTGGGTGGAGGTTTGGCCCAATTTTACCTGGTGTGTGTTGTAGTTGGGCTGGTTGTGGAGCAGTGGTGGGGGACAGATAGACAGGTTATACTGCAGCGGCTGGCCCAGCAATGAATAGCGCCCATCACCTGCCAAAAAGAAGCAAATGTTTGGGGGGGCTGAAGAAATCACAGGAAAGACCCAGCCCTGTGCTGTCCCCACTCCTCTGCCTTACCTTGTGCTGGGCCCATGGGCCGGGGGAACTGTGCAAGGACAGGAAGGGGGCTCAGCCCCGTGCAGACGCTGTTGAGGTTGGTGACAGGAGACGGTGTTGGGGATTGGGTGGGGGATGTGATGGGGCTGTTCAGCTGGGTGCTGGCCTGGGGGAGGGAGAGCGTTAGACAGCCCCAATGCTTGTGACCGGTCCCACACCTGCCTCACCACCCCCATCTCCCAGCCCATCCAGACAGCACGGATGCTGGGGTCCTCTCTCTCCCACCAGGCTGCTTCCAAAAGATGAGCTGCCTTCTTCCCAGTCCTCTCAATACCTGAGCACTGGTGTCTGGGTTGTACAGGTCTCCTGGCTTCTGCCCCCGCTGGTCCAGGCTGTAGTACTTACAGTGGCTCCACTGCACCACAGGGGGATTCTGGGGGGCCTGGGGGCCATTGGGTACATTCAGCTGCATCACAACCACGCCAGGGCCCGACGGAGACACCCCTGGGGAGAGACGACAGCAGCAGTATTGCCCAGGCTCTGCACACTGCTGCTGCTGCTTGCTGTGGGACAAGAGGCAGCCTGCCTGTCTGTGCAACTTTGCACTCTTCCCTACAACACC